ACGCGTAGACTCTTGCCGGAAGCTCTCCCGGACCCGCTGCGAAGTAACTCGTAGAGCTTCCCTGAGCAAGTTATTGCTGGAAGCTTAAGAGTAATTCCGGCGCGCTGGAGAGCTAGTTGGCAAGAAAAATCGGGACGGACCTTTTGAGGAATTTGGGTCGGTTGAAAATTTTGTTCTCGAAATTCAACAATTCGTTTGAGCTCTAGTACTTTTTCCAATGATATTCGATTTCATTCCCGCTTGCCATCTTGATCTCAGCTCGATCGGGTACTCTTTACTGCCAAAAAGCACTGCGGCGGGATCGGCCGTTTCGAGTCATCTTGATTCGCGCTGTCGGTATACTGAACTTAACTCGAGATATACGACAGCTACAGAGCTGGTAAGCACACCCGACCTATTCAGAATGATCAGGCGCGTTCGGCTGTTCCAACCAGAGGTCTGAACTCGGTCTGCTAGCCGAGCTAGGTCCGCAAACCTATTCGTATTATTCGAGTCATCTTGACAGGCGCTCTCGGTTTTCTGTATTTAACTCGAGCTATAAGCTACAGAGCTGATACTTACAGAAACCGATTCAGAATCATCAATCGCGTTTGTCTGTTGAATCCAGAGCTCTGAACCCGGTCTGCTGCCCGATCCAGAACCGCGAAACTGTTCGAGTGATCTTGAGAGGTGCTGTCGGTTTTCTGCACTTAACTCGGGCTGTAGGGGGGCTGCAGTGCTGGTGGTGACAGCAATCGATTTGAAGACATCAGGCGCGTCCGCCTGTGGAATCCAGAGCTCGGAACTCGGTCTGCTGCCCGAACTCGGTCCGCGAAACTGTGCGTATTGTTCGAGTCATCCTGACAGATGCTGTCGGCTTTCTGCACTTAACTCGGGCTGTAGGGGGGATGCAGGGCGGGTAATCACAGGAATCGAATCGGAGACATCAGACGCGTCCGCCTGTCACATTCAGAGGTCTGAACTCGGTCTGATACTCGAGCTGGGTTTACCAAACTATTCGTTTTGTTCGAGTCATCTTGGGAGGTGCTGTCGATTGACGCACGTAACTCGGGCTGTAGGAGAGCTACAGAGCTACAGAAGACAATCCAGAAGCATCGGGGGGCGTTCGGCTGTTGCATCGGGAGGTCTGAAATCGCTTGGGCTGTAAAACTATTCGTTCTCTGCATTTTTTTCGACATTATATATTGTCAGGAAGCTCTACGAGTCCCCCGGCGGTAAGAAAGGTTGACGGTTTACCGCCGGCGCCCAGTTTTACTGGCGCCGGCGGTGAACCGTCAACCTGGTCACCGCCGGGAATCCATAGAGCTCCTTGCACGCGTAAGAGTGCCCAGAATCAAAGCAGAGAGCTCCGCTGTAAATACCTCGTAGAGCTTCCCTTAGCAAGTTGTTGCTGGAAGCTTAAGAGTAATTCCGGGGCGCTGGAGAGCTTGTTGGCAAGAAAAATCTCGACGGACCTTTTGGTGACTTTTGGTCGGTTGAAAATTTTTCTCGAAATTCAACAATTCGTTTGAGCTCTAGTACTTTTTCCAATGATATTCGATATTATTCCCGCTTGCTATCTTGTACGATCGATACTTTTTCTGAGCTCGATCGGATACCTTTTACTGCCAAAAAGCAGGCAGGCGGGATCGGCCGTTTCGAGTCATCTTGATACGCGCTGTCGGTATATTGGATTTAACTCGAGATAGAGGATAGCTACAGAGCTGGTAAGGACATCTTATCGATTCAGAATGATCAGGCGCGTTCGTCTGTCCAGAGGTCTGAACTCGGTCTGCTAGCCGAGCTAGGTCCGGAAACCTATTCGTATTGTTCGAGTCATCTTGACAGGCGCTCTCGGTTTTCTGTACTAAACTCGAGCTCTCGGACAGCTACAGAGCTGATACTTACAGAAACCGATTCAGAATCGTCAGTCGCGTTTGTCTGTTGAATCGAGAGCTCTGAACTCGGTCTGCTGCCCGATCTAGAATCGCGAAACTATTTGTATTGTTCGAGTCATCTTGAGAGATGCTGTCGGTTTTCTGCACTTAACTCGGGCTGTAGGGTGGCTACTGTGCGATTTGAAGACACTGGCGCGTCTGCTTGTCGCATACAAAGCTCGGAACTCTGTCTGCTGCCAGAACTAGGTCGGCGAAACTATTTGTATTGTTCGAGTCATCCCGAGAGATGCTTTCGGTTTTCTGCACTCAACTCGGGCTGTAGGGGGGCTGCACGGCTGGTAATCACAGGAATCGATTTGGAGACATCAGACGCGTCCGCCTGTCGCATTCAGAGGTCTGAACTCGGTCTGATACTCGAGCTGGGCTTGCCAAACTACTCGGTTTGTTCGAGTCATCTTGGGAGGTGCTGTCGAATTGCGCACACTCGGGCTGCAGGAGAGCTACAGAGCTCGTACAGAAGACAATCCAGAAGCATCGAGAGGTCTGAAATCGTTTGGGCTGAAAAACTATTCGTCCTCTGCAATTTTTTCGACATTATATGCTGTCAGGAAGCTCTACGAGTCCCCTGGCGGTAAGAAAGGTTGACGGTTTACCGCCGGCGCCCAGTGTTCTTAAAATCTTTAATTCTCAATTTTTCATGCCAATCTGAGGCCAGGTCGCTGGCTTCGCTCGGGAGAATTTGTCGACAGAACCAGCTGATAATAATTCGTAGAGCTTCTCTTAGCAATTTGTTGCTGGAAGCTTAAGAGTAATTCCGGGGCTCTGGAGAGCTAGTTGGCAAGAAAAATCTCGACGGACCTTTTGCTGACTTTTGGTCGGTTGAAAATTTTGTTCTCGAAATTCAACCATTCGTTAGAGCTCTAGTATTTTTTCCCGTGATATTCGATCTTGTTACCGCTCGCCATCTTGATCTCAGCTCGATCAGGTACCTTTTACTGCCAAAAAGCACACGGGCGGGATCGGCCGTTTCGAGTCATCTTGATACGCGCTGTCAGTTTATTGGACTTAACTCGAGATACAGGACAGCTACACAGCTGTTAAGCACAGCTTATCGATTCAGAATGATCAGGCGCGTTCGTCTGTTGCATCCAGAGGTTTGAACTCGGTCTGCTAGTCGGGCTAGGTCCGCACACCTACTCGTATTATTCGAGTCATTTCGACAGGCGCTCTCGGTTTTCTGTACTAAACTCGAGCTATATGACAGCTACAGAGCTGATACTTACAGAAACCAATTCAGAATCATCAGTCGCGTTTGTCTGTTGAATCTAGAGCTCTGAATTCGGCCTGCTGCCCGATCTAGAATCGCGAAACTATTCGCATTGTTCGAGTTATCTTGAGAGGTGTGTTGGTTTTCTGCACTTAACTCGGGCTGTAGGTGGGCTACAGTGCAGGTGGTCACAGGAATCGATTCGAAGCCATCGGTCGCGCCCGCCTGTTGAATCCAGAGTTCCGAACTCGGTCTGCTGCCCGAACTAGGTCCGCGAAACTATTCGTTTTGTTCGAGTCATCCTGAGAGGTGCTCTCGGTTTTCTGCACTTAACTCGGGCTGCAGGGGGGCTGCAGGGCTGGTAATCACAGGATTGGATTCGGAGACATCAGACGCGTCCGCCTGTTGCATTCAGAAATCTGAACTCGGTCTGATACTCGAGCTGGGTTTGTCAAACTATTTGTTTTGTTCGAGTCATCTTGAGAGGTGCAATCGGTTTACGTAACTCGGGCTGTAGGAGAGCTACAGAGCTCGTACAGAAGACAATCCAGAAGCATCGGCGGCGTTCGGCTGTTGCGTCGAGAGGTGTGAAATCGCTTGGGCTGAAAGACTATTCGTTCTCTGCATTTTTTTGACATTATATATTGTCAGGAAGCTCTACGAGTCCCCCGGCGGTAAGAAAGGTTGACGGTTTACCGCCGGCGCCCAGTTTCAGAGGCAACTTCTATAGTGCAAAGCTTCGCTCTGCACAATTATCAGCCCAAACAAATGGTTGGATCTGCAAAATCGGCTGAGCCAGGCCGCGGAAGGTATGATCCGCGTCTCTTCTCGAAATTTTGCCAACTCGGAACCGGTAAACCGTCAACCTGGTTACCGCCGGGAACCTCGTAGAGCTCTTCTCTTGCAGGGCGATCCTCTGGAGAAACGAACAAATCGAAAAATCACGTTTTTCTGTTTTTATCAAACGTCGGTTCCCCCAAGTGTTTTGATAGTAATACTGCACCTACGGACCCGAGAATTTGACTCGCAGACGCGGCATAACCCACTACAGGTGCGAAGAATCTGGTTTCTCAAAATGAATGGTCAAATATCTTTCAAATCTTAGCTAAACCGAACCAAAGTCGTCACGCTGTCCGCCCGGGCCGGGTCGCAACTAGCTCCATCCAGCGCCGGAATTCCTCTAGCTCATCGATGCCGTAGAGCTCTACGAGGTACTAGCTCCACCCTGTCGCCGAATTCCTCTAGCTCTGTTACCGTCAGAGCTCTACGAGGTACAGGTTGCTGCGAGGATCCTGGACCGGCGGAAATGCACTGCTGGCGGGCGCCACCACCGTCCGGCTTCCAATCTAAAGCCCTCTAGCTCTCAGAGAGCTCTCCGGGAAAAAGCGGGAGAGCAAGGGGAACACACACCGGGGGGCTTTCCGGGCGAGCCCTCGGACGCTCTCGTGAAGCGCTTCTGGAGCTCTAGCGCGCCCCCCTGCAGCGCTTCTGAAGCGCTGCCAAAAAACGCTTCCACGCGTGCCTGCACGCGTGCAGGCGCAGGTGAACGCGTGACGGAAGCGCTCCCGGACCAGCTGCCGGGACGGGCGAGTCGCTGCGGGGAACGTGGACCGCCGTGGAGGAGCTCCTGGCGGGCACCACCACCGTCCGCCCTCTAGCTCTCAGAGAGCTTACCGAGACCCCCAGCTTCATGCACTCAACTTCGACGAGTTCACCATGTCGTTCAAAGTCGAGAAAGTGACACCCGAGACCATAGACAAATGCAACTGCCCCCACGAGGCTGCTGGGCGACCCCGACTGGAAGCATACTGTCTCCAGCCTCCTCATCCCCTGCGACACTGCTATGTGCTGCCCAGGAGAGCCAAATTCGAAGTGCCCATCTTCGTTGGAGATCCACCGCCTCGCCTGCCCGTGGCTGCGTCCGCTGGGCGGCCCTCCGCCACTGGGGCGGGAATTCAGCGCGCCAGGTTCTACGGCGCCTTGTTCATACCATGGCATGCTGGGGGCCTCCCGGACCTCACCCCTGCCGCTTGGGCCACGCACGTGAGCAGACTGCACGCCCTGGCACATGACCGCTCCACAGACCTGGCCGACGACATCCACAGGGACATTGCTCAAGGCCGGCTGTTTCGCATCCACAACGTCGCGGACGCTCTGACATGCAGCGCCGCCAAGGCAAAGCTCATGAGCAAGTGGCGCTGCCGGAACCGTGACCTCTGGGCGACGTCCACCTCCGAGCACCAGCACAGCGCTGACGGCAGCTCGGCCCGCGGAGACGCCCCCGGGGAGGCGGCTGCGCGCCGCGACATCGAGGAAGTACACGACAGCGCCCCGCGACACAAGGACACCGTGCCAGGTCGAACGAGGCCGAACCAACGGCGTCCGTCTCTGCCCCACCTTCTCTGCTAATTGCCTCTTCCCTCCCGTCCCCCCACATTCGAACGCCCCCGTCTTGGCACGAAGGTTTTCCATGTCGTCGTTGGTACGTCCCCTTTCGGCGCTGGTCCCAGGACGCCACCGCCATTCACAGAGCTGCTTCGGTGGGGCGCTGGGTAGACGACGTCGTCGCCAAGCTCGCAGAGGCGCAAGGAATTGGCACATCCTCGGCACATCATGCACCCTGGGACTGCAACGCCCCGCCCCGCAGTTCAAAAGTGGCGCTCCCAGTGGAGGGTGGCCCCGGCGCGATCACGGACGTGCTGCGCGCCCTCAAGCAGCCGAGGGCGTTCGACGACGCCGGGGATGCTGCGGCACTGAGCGCCGCACATGACAGGAACACCTCGCCGGACACAGGCGACGCACAGATCCCAGCAGAGTTCGTAGACCTCACCGAGACCGAGTTCGCGCAGGAACAACAATCCTATGCCGAACAGCGCCGGCGCGCAGCCCCGGGCCAGTCTACCTCCCCCCCGCCTCTGAACCCAGAGCAACGGACATTTGCCAGGACACGCTTCCGCGCGCAGCGGCTGCTCGCCGACGGGCGCGCCACGGCAGAACCCTTCGAGACGACCTTGCACCGGCTGCGCCAGGGCGGGCTCGACCAAGTGACCCTCATCCAAGGCGCTGGAGGGTTGGGCATATCTGTTTTGCTGCACGCCCTTAATCGGGCGATGCAGCGCGAACGGCTCGGCCACATGGCCCTGTCTGCGTGGACAGGCGTCGCCTCCGCGCCATTCCGCGCGCCGACCCTGTGCAGCCTGCTGGGGGTCGATTTCGCCCGCCTGCGCCAGGAGCCACACCGCACCGAGCAGCAGATTGGCGTCACTCGCACGGATTATGCCCAGTACTTCGGCGAGCCCGCCGACCTCGGCGTCTTCGTCATTGACGAGGTGTCTTTCTTGGATGCCGCCGTGCTGCACTGGGTGGACATGATGCTCCGATGGCTCGTCGGCAAGCCAGAGGCACCCTTCGGAGGCGTCCTCCTCATACTTGCAGGGGACTTCTGGCAGAAGCCACCGCCCGCGGGCACTACTTTGGCAGAGCTCTTAGTCCAGGCAGACGCGCCCGTGCGCAAGCAGCGAACTCTACTCCCAACGAGTCCCGCAGCGAAAGGGCTAGACATATTCCGCCGCGCTCAACGAACTGTCCTCCGCCGACAGATGCGAGCTGCTGATGGCCCAGCATCCCAGGGAACTCTCCTGCACGTGCGCGACACCAACGCGGACACACCCATTCCTCCGGAGTTTGTTCGCAACGCCGACATCCGCGCGGAACCTGCGCGAGCATTCGCGCCTATTCTCGTGGCAGGCAACCTCGAGAGGCATCGCCTCAACCACCACCAAGTGCATGCCTTTGCAGAGACCCATCAGCTGCCTCTGGTGCGCTGGAAGCTGCCCTTGTCAGACAAGGATACGGCGGCCCTCTCAGATGTGGATCGCGACGCCCTCTTACGAGAACGAACCTGGTCTGTGGGGATACTTCGTCCGAGGGGCGCCCTGCATGCTGTTGCGGAACTTGCAGCCGACCAAAGGCTTGGCTAACGGCTCCACGGGCTGGCTGCATTCTTTGACTTTCGACGGGGATCCGCCAGATGACCTCCGTGCAGCCGAGGACGCGGCCAAGTTCGAAGTGGTCACCCTCATGGCCCCGCCTCTGTCCATCAACTGGGCCCCGTCCCTCGACGAGGACACTGCGCGAACCGGTATCGACAGTTTGTTGTGCGACGAGCTTGTCGTGCCCACGCTGGCTGGCCCTGACATGATGGAGTATGAGACTTGCTCCCTGTGCGCAACGATGGCCAACGCTCCTCGGGTGGTGCGGCACAGGGGCCACCCATTGACGCTGGCGTTCGCTCTGACAGATTTCAAAGTCCAGGTCCGCACCGCGCACTTCGTCAACCTTAGCATCGCATCTCGCCCATTCCCCCTGCACTTGGACATGGGAGGATTCTACGTCATGATATCCCGAGTGCGCCGAGGCCACATCAAGGGCAGACAGTGGCGACTGCTGCAGCGAGGGCGGGGCGCGTTCTCCGGACCCCCCCCCGCCCGCGCCCGCGAACAGTCACCTCTGCTTCCCCCAGGCGACGGCATCCGGGTCATGAGCAAGGAGGATGGCCTCAAACACCTGTTCAACCTGCGACGCGCCCCCGAGCTCACGGTCTGGAACGCGCCCTACACCTCCGAGGGCTACTGGGACGCAGCTGCCGCCCGCCGACACTCTGAGGAAGCCAAGAAGAAGAAGGCCGCCCCTAAGACTCTAAGAGGAGGGCATACCGCGCAGCAGGCAGCACCTGATCATCGCATTCTGCGAGCCTGGCCTGGCGCCTGAGTGGCAGCTTGGCACCTGTGGTGAACGGGCTCTTGCGAGGCGCCTTGCTAATTAAGAATTGGCCGAGCCGGCCTGATGGGTATGCCGCCAGAGTAGATGCCCCCATCACCGTGTACGGGCAAATCGGAAGCCGCCCACCAGCAGCCCCCCGATGCATGCGCCCGCTGGCAAAACGGCAGTGGGCAGTGTCTGACGCCCGCGGACAAAACGGCGGCGGCCAGATCTTGAGGACTTCTGAGTAGGGATATCAGGTCAGTGGGCAAGCCCCCCTAAAACATACGCCCACGGCCAACACGGCGGTGACCACTTTCTGACGCCCGCGGGCAAAACGGCGGCGGCCACTTATGGAGGCCTTCTGAGTAGGGTTATCAAGTCATTGGGCAACCACCTCACAAACCTACGCCCGCGGGCAAAACGGCGGTGAGCATTTTCTGATGACCGAGGGCAAGACGTGACGGCCAGTTCTTGGAGCCTTCTGATTAGGATCATCAGGTCAGTGGGCAAGCCCCCTTTCAAACCTACGCCCGCGGGCAAAACGGCGGTGAGGACATTCTGACGGCCGCGGGCAACATGGCGGCGGCCAGTTCTGGAAGCCTTCTGAGTAGGGATATCAGACGAGTGGGCAAGCGCCCGAAAGACATACGCCCGCGGGCAAAACGGCGGTGCGCATTTTCTGACGCCCGCGTGCAAAACGGCGACGGCCAGATCTCGGAGCCCTCTGAGTAGGAATCTCATGGCAATGGGCAAGCTCCCTCAAACCCTACGCCCGCGAGCAAAACGGCGGTGAGCACTCTCTGACGCCCGCGGGCAAAACGGCGGCGGCCAGTTCTGGAGGCTTCCTTGGTAGGGAATACCAGGTCAGTGGGCAAGCCCCCTAGAGACTTACGCCCGCGGGCAAAACGGCGGTGAGCATTTTTTGACGCCCGCGGACCCGGCGGCGGCGGCCGGTTCTCGTGGCTTGCTGAGTAGGGATCTCAGGTCAGTGGGCAAGCCCAGTGAAACCTTACGCCCACGAACAAACAGCGGTGAGCATTTTCTGACGCCCGCGGGCAAAACGGCGGTGGCCCAGGCAAAACGACGGGGGCCAGTTCTAGGAGCTCTCAGGATAGAGATATCGATGAGCACTTTTCTGACGCCCGCGGGCAAGACGGCGGCGGCCAGTTCTTGGAGCCTCCTGCGTAGGATCATCAGGTCAGTGGGTAAGCCCCTTATAAACTTCCGCCCGGAGGCAAAACGGCGGGGCGCACCATCGGACGCCCGCGGACAATATGGCGGCAGGTTTTTGGAGCTCTCTGAGTAGGGAATATCAGGTCAGTGGGCAGGCCCCCTAAAAACATACGCCCGCGGGCAAAACGGCGGTGAGCATTTTCAGACGCCCCCGGGCAAAACGGCGGCGGCCAGTTCTTGGAGCCTTCTGAGTAGAGATATCAGGTCAGTGGGCAATCCCCCTAACAACTTACACCCGCTGACAAAACGACGGTGAGTTCCTGGAGCTTTCTGAGTAGGGATGCCGCGTCAGTGGGGAAGCACTTGTGAGCCCTTTAGAGACTTGCGCCCGCTTGCAAAACTGCGGTTTCCACTTTCAGACGCCCGCTGGCAAAAGCGGCGGCCAGTTCTTGGAACATTCCGAGTAGGGATACGCCCGCGGGCAAAACGGCGGTGACCATTTTCTGCCGGCCGCGGGCCAAACGGCGCATCTAGTTTTAAAGGCCTTCTGAGTAGGAGTCTCAGGCCAGTGGGCAAGCCCCCTAACGACTTACGCTCGCGGACAAAACGGCGATGAGCATGTTCTGACGCCCGCGGGCAAAACGGCGGCGGCCAGTTCTTGGAGCCATCTGGATAGAGATTTCAGGTCATTGGGGACGCCCACAGGAAACTTACGCCCGCGGGCAAAACGGCGGTGAGCATTTTCTGACGCCCGCGGACGCGGCGGCGGCGGCCAGTTCTGGAGGCTTTCTGAGTAGGGATGTCAGGTCACTGCCCCCCCCCCCCCCCCCCCTCCCCCTCAAACCTGACGCCCGCGAACAAAACGGCGGTGGGCATTTTCTTACGCCCGCGGGCAAAAAGGCGGCGGCCAGTTCTTGGGGCCATCTGGATAGAGATATCAGGTCATTGGGCACGCCCACAAGAAACTGAGGCCCGCGGGCAAAACGGCGGTGAGCATTTTTTGATGCCCGCGGATCCGGCGGCGGCGGCTGGTTCTGGATACCTTCCGAGTAGGGACGTCAGGTCAGTGGGCAAGCCCTCCCCCCACAAACCCTACGCCCGCGGGCAAAACAGCGGTGGGCATTTCCTGGCGCCCGCGGACAACGCGGCAGCGGCCAGTTCTTGGAGCCTTATGAGTAGGGAGATCAGGTCTGTGGGCACGCCCCTTTACAAATCGACGCCCGCGGACAAAACGGCGGTTGGCATGGTGATGGCCCGCAGCTGCCCCGGCTCAAACAACGACGCGCCTGATTCCCATGCGGATTCGGTCGCGCCCTCGGAGCGCGAGCGCAGCGGCCTCGCCGCCCCCTCGCCATGGCGGACAGCCTCGAGAGTGTCAACGCCATGAATTCCAAGAGCAAGCGTTTGGAGGTCCGTTTCTTGGACCCCGTGGTGCGAACCCCCACGGACAAAATGAGCGTCTTCGCAGGCCGCATCGGAACAAAGAGCGGCCACTACACCTGCGCCGAGAACGTAGTGTTCGGTGACGCCAACCATCGCAAGAAGGAAACCGACGCGCTGGCACAGAAGTGGCCCCACGGATCGACGTGGACGTTGTCCAACGTGACCGTCAAGAAGCGCCAGGAGAGGTACCGCGGCTGCCCCCACGGCTACGTCCTCAATATCGGCGCCCCGTCCTTGAAGGTGGCCAGGCTCACGGGTGCGGCCGCCGCTGGCATCCCCGGCGCTGTCGAGCCCCCGCAAACCGTATCGGACGTCCTCGACATGTCCACGTCACAGGTGATCGACTTCCACGGCTTCGTCCTGGACGTCCCAGAACCCACTTTTCAGAAAGAAAAGAAAATCGTAGCCGTCACCTTCGCCGACGCTTCCAAGACGACGCTGCCCATGAACTTCTGGGAGGAAATGATCAACGACATCCCACAGGGCGCCCAGGGCAAGGTGCTCTACGTGTTCGACGCGTACCTGGTCATCGAAAAGACAGGCGGCCGCCACATCACGCCCAGGAAGGGAACGACGATCCGCATCGCCGACGGCGCCCTGCCGCAGGCGAAGGCCATGCTCGCCAGCGGCCTCTCCAACGTCAAGCCCACCGACGAGGGCGTCTCCTCCTTGAGCAAGGCACCGGACCGCGACTACAAGAAGTTGCCCGGGGAGGACGCATGCGTGGCAGACATCCACGCGTGCGTGAACAACACGAAGGACCTCAGCGAGAAAATCTACGACATCCCGTCCGCCATGATTATCCTGGTGAACCCCGACGAGCTCCTCACGCAGGATGGGGCCCGGATCTACGCCGCCATCTCCATCTCCGACTTCTCCGGCACAACGTCCGCAAAGTTGACCCAGGAGCCCGCTCTCGTCCTCTCCAGCGCCACGGACCCCAAGAACTTCGTCGAGCTCGCTTCCAAGGGCCACCTGTCCTTCGCACGCGGCCTCGTCAGAGTGGGCCGCGCGCCGTCCAAAGACAAAGTCCCCAAGCTCCACCTGGTGGCCGCTGCCCCCCGCCTGTTCGACGACGCAGTGCCGCGCCCCCTGCGCCTCAACGACGAGCGCGTCATCCCCGCCAGCCTGGAACGCGTCGCCCCCTCCGCCTCGGGCACGCTCACCGTGTCTTGCAACGGGAAAGCCTTCTTGGCGTCTGGCGTCCTCGTCCTGGTGCAAGCCACGCGCGAGGCCGACACGGTGGCGCGGGGGGACACGTTCGCCATCCAGAACTTCGTGAAGGACTCCCTTGACGGCGCCTCTTCCGGGAAAGAGCACAAGGCGATCACGACGGCCATGGTCGCCAGGCTCGCTCGGTACACGATCGCACCCGGAAGCTCGGCCGTCATCCACGTCATTAACTTCCTCGACGACACCCTCGTGGTCGGCGACGTGTGGCAGATCCCGCCGCCCGTGAACGCGACCCAGTTCCAGGCGGAGGTCGCCGCCGCCGAGCTCGCCCTCTCCGCGGGCGCCGACGACGGTGCGCCGCCGGCTAAGCGGCAGCGCTTGACCTTCGACGCGGCCTGAAGGGGGTCCGCTGGATGCGAAGGCCGCCGACGCGCACTAGGCACAGCTCCCCCGTTGCCACTAGCCCAGCCCCCCCCTCTTGCAGCGCGCCCCCTCCCAGCCCGACCTCGTCGCGGGGGCAGATGCGCCCGGCGCACCTCTGAATCCGCCCGGCGCCGACCATCACTTAGCATATACGGACGTATAAAAGCACATATTATATCCCTCTCCTTTCTCCCTCCCGCACCGCCCTTCGCCCCCTCCTGCCATGGCCGCGGGGGCGCGCCCCATGGGCACCGCGACGGAGCCACCACGTCAGTCCACCCTCCATCCATCCATGCCCCCCTGAGCCACCTCCCTCCCTCGCTGCCTTTCTACCGCCATACGACGCTCCCTTGGGGCGTCTTGGCAAGCCCTGGGGCTGTCTTGAAGCCCTCTGCGGCCGTCCTGGGTCCCCGTGGGGGGCCGCATGGACCGTCTTCGGACAATCTTCCGGGCCACTTGGGTCATCTTGGACGCCGTCAAGACGACAAAGAAGAGTTTGCAACAATGAACGTATAGGAATGGAAAGCTTTTCGCCTCTTGGGGCTCTCTCGGCGGTTCTGAGGGAGCACTCTTGGGCCTTCTTGGGGGCCTTGCGCGCTGTCCCGAAGCCGCATTGGACCGTCGTGGGGCTCCCCTGGGCCGTCTCGACGCTGTCGTGGATTATATTGGCGCCCTGTTTGGACCCTCTGTGGACGTCTTCGGGCTCTTTGGAGACTCCGGAAGCTCTGGAGGCGCGTTGACGAGCTCGTGCCCCCACGGGAGGGAGAGACCGGTGGGGGGGCGGGGGAGGCCGG